AGAGGAATATGCTGAGTTCAGAGAGACAGGAAGCTGCCAATCACACAGGGCAGGTTCTCATGGACCATGGTTAGGGATTTTATTCCAAGGTCAAAGAAACATCACAGAAGGATGTACAGAAACTGAACACTGATGGGGCAGAACCCAGGGCAGTGGTTGTAGTCAACAGAATTTTCGGATTAGAGCAGACATCAGCATTTATTGAGTACCCACCATCCACCAGGCATCATTCTAGGTGCTTTCCATACCTTACCTAATTAATAACTCTGAAGGAAAGACAGTAGCAGCCCCACTTTACACACGAGGTTTTAGAAACAACCAATTTAAGGCCACAGGTCAGTAAGTGGCAGGGCCAAGCCTGAAACCCAGTCCCCATCATTCTCAAATTCACATTGTATCTATACACCATGGTGCCTCTGAAAGCTTCAGGGCCATACAAGTGGGGCAGGAGTGGAAGGTGAGGGAGCTATGATCTGGTAGTAAGTAACTCACAACACATTACAGCAAATTTAAAGATGCAAACATCCTAGTGAAACCAAAAACAAAACACTCAAATTTGACCAACTGCCTCGGCTGAGGCCAAGAATGTTCAACAATAGGAATAAGGGCCTTAATGCAAGAATGCCAGCATCTCAGGACAGGTGGGTATAAGACAAGAACAGCAAAAGATAAGGAGACTAGGTGTGGACAGGATACAGGAAATTGTTTCAGCCATACCTGGCTAAGAGTTCTTTCAATTCCTTAGAAAGGAGGCTGCTAGACATAACAAATCCTGTTCCATAGTATCTACTGTTTATTGCATATATGCTTAATATCTCCGACATCCAGAAATCTCATTTCTAGGAATCTACCCTTTTAAAAAAACCACTCAGCAAGGCGCGGTTTCTCATGCCTGTAGTCCCAGCACTTTGGGAGGCCAAGGCGGGCAGATCACAAGGTCAGGAAATCAAGACTATCCTGGCTAACACGGTGAGACCATCCTGGCTAACACGGTGAAACCCTGTCTGTATTAAAAATACAAAAAAATTAGCCGGGCATGGTAGCATATGCCTGTAATCCCAGCTACTTGGGAGGCTGGGGCAGAAGAATCACTTGAATCTGGGAGGCGGAGGTTGCAGTGAGCCAAGATCACACCACTCCACTCCAGACTGGGCAACAGAGCAAGACTCTGTCTCAAAAAAAAAAAAAAAAAATCACGTAACTATAAAAAGATACATGCACAAGGAGATTCATCACAGCTTTGTTTATAAAAGTGAGAAATTAGAAACAACTTGAAATGTCCCACAGTAAGGTTTTATAAATTATGGCTCAAGCTATCCCTTTTAATAAGCCTTTATTTAATATTACACAGCCAATAACGCCATCCATCAATATTGAGAATGGAAAGCTATCCATGTCATTCCCTGTCAAAAGGCAGGATTAAACTCTTCCATATGTTCATAAAGATAGCTACTTGGACAGCATATGTTGTACCAGATTCTGGGTCTTCCCCACTCACCCAAAAAACATGTTTTTTAAAGGGAGAGCAAGATACATACTAGTGTCCAGAACAAGTCACAGCAGGTACAGGCCTTCACAAAATGCTGCCTCCGCGAGGCCTCCTCTGGTCTAGGGAGGCAAGACCAGTAAGACAGGCTCCCATAGAAGAGCAACTGATTTACCTACTTCCTACCATAAGGCCTGCCATACAGGTGATTATACCCTCAGCTAACGAGGATATTAGACAATAGATTACCAGTTTAAAGACCAAAAGGAAGACATGTGGTTTTCACAAGCCAGAGTGAGTACTTGCACAGAACAGTCAAATGAAATAGAAAGGACTTCCTTTGATAGAAGACCTGGGTTCAAAGCCTGAATAAGTCCCTACCCCTGTCTGGGCTTCAGAGTCCCCACATGTCAAATGAAAGGACTGGAAGAGATGATTCCTAGAGCTCCTCCAGCTCTGAAATTAGCTCTATTCTAAATATCCCTTCATTCCATGCCCTTAGCTCCACATTCCTCCCTTTGGGCCCACACCACTACAGCAGCCTTTTAATTCATCACCTTACCACCAACCTTGCTCCCCTCCAAACTCTTCTCCTCATAGTCACCAGCCTGGTAAGCTTTTGAAAGCACTATTCTGGTCATTTCCCTCCCCAGATTAAAATCCATTGCTGGTTCCCTTTCATCTTCAGGACAAAAACCAAACAAAGCAGTGTAACATTCAAGAACCTGCAGGAGCTGGCCCCTGCCTGCTTCAATGGCCTCACCTCTCAACTCGTCTCACACAGCCTCCTTCCAGCCAAAGAGAACTTACAGGTCCCTGAACTCATCAAACCCTGTCATGCCTCTCTCTGCATTTGCACATGTGAGTCCTTATGCCTGGGATGCTCCCTAACTCTCTCTACTTGATCAATCCCTACCTGTCCCTGATGACCCAACTCAGGCAACATCTCCTCCAGAGAGGCTTCTCTGAACCCCGAGTCATAGCCCCTCCTCTGTGGCCCCACAGCATCCTACTTACCTCTGTCCCTGCACTATTTTTCTATCCATCTTCCCAATCAGACTGTGAGCCTCTGGATAGGGGGACTTACCTGGTCTTAATCTACTGCAGATTCCCCCAGCAGAGAGCCTGGCACAGTGGTGTACATTTAAAAATGTTTATTAAATGGATGAACTCTGAGGAAAACCAGAAGGGGACCTATGTGTTGCCAGCCCCCAACTAAATGCAACTCTTGATGGTTAGGTATCAATCATCTGAGACTAGGATAGGACGAATCATGAGTTTCCACTTTAAATCCAAAGTATCTCAGCCCCCTCCTTAATATGCATGCTGACTCTAAAATTAGCTTTAGATGCCAAGAGCGTTTCCTATAAGCATCCCACAGAAAGTTCAGACTACCACTACACAGAGATCATGCATTCATAACTCAGGCCAAATGAAAAATTTCAGTGACTCATAAAGACCTGAAAGGGAGACACTGAGAACAGTGTGGCCATTTCAATTCCGGCTGCAGAATTTGCTCTTGAAAATGCTACAATAAAAAATATTAATGCCATAAAAACCTAATAGCAGCCAAAGGACTACAGTCATAAAGAAAAAAACATAAATCCTAAAACATGTTGGCATAGAAGGCTCTCCCTCACCTTCAAGAGAAACAGGATTTAGGTCACCAAAAACACATCTGAACAAGGGAAACTTGAATCACATGGCAGAGGGAAAAAAAATAACAGTAATTATAACAGTAACAGTAAGAAAAGGAAGAAGCAGCGATGGCAAACACATAGAACGTACTCCATGCTTTGCAAATATTCACTCATTCAATCCTCCTAACAACCCTATGAAGTAGGTACTGTTATCATGCCCATTGTTAAAATGAGGGAAGTACAGAGAGGTTAAGTGACCGGCCACAAGGCACCCAGGAGATGTGGACAAATAAGCAGCCTGGCTCCAGAAGCCATGGGCCTCAGGCAGCACAGACTGCCTCTGAGAACAATTTTGCCATGTCACATCCCTGGGCCTCAGTTTCTGCTATATATAATAAAGAGGGTTGTGTTCAATTCTGGGATTCCTTTCCGTTCAATAAGCAGATAAAAGATGTGAAATCAAAATTCTAATATCCTGTGAAATTTTCCAATTTAGAAATAAAATGTAAAGCAGTGCCCTTCAAAAATGAAATAAGCATCTTGCAGAGCCGCTTTAATATTAAAGTAACATATACAAAGAGCTTAGCACTTAAAGTGCCCAGCTCAGAGCAAGAGCTCAATAAACAGTAGCTGTTATTACTCTTACGATAAAACAGGAACAACCATTTAATAGTAGAGCATATTTTAATTATACATGATGTAGAATAATCAAATCTCATTCGTTTGAGGCCCCAGACCCCACAGCATAGATCGAGTTGTACAGCTGAAATTATAACAACTCAAAGCTCAGAAATTACTTGTTTCCATTAGAGATCTGACAAGTCATTTCTTCAATTGGTCACTGGTGGTTTGCAGATAACTATTAGCAGTAATGAGTATTCTAAATTAAATCCAGAGACAGCACCGCTCTGTTCTGTAAAGACAACTGGGGAGAGAGAAACATAATTGTGGAATGTCCTTCTCTCTATGTCCTCCATCTTCTCTCCGATATATATCTCTTGTGTCTTGCATAGTATGGATTTCATTTGCTTACAAATGAAGAAGGGTCTAATTCTTCCCATGATAAATGAGAGCACTGAACAGGTAACTTGTTAAAGAGAATTGGAATTGGGAAAATACCCTTATTTTCCTGTTACTTGACAACAAACCCCCTCTGCTAATAAATGAAAGACACAATGCTGGAAGACATTAGGCATTGAAGCCAAATCTATCACCAAGTAATCCATTCTCAGAAAAAAAACTACACAGTACTGGGTACAGGTTACTCACATTTCATTCAAGAGCAACAAAGATAAAAGTTTACAAAATGAAGGGGAGGCACAATGCAGTGGAAAGAATAATGGCTTTGGAATTAATAAAAACCTGGATTCAAATTCCAACTCTGACACTTATCTATTATATGACCATAAACAAGTCTCTCCTAGTCTTAAGATTCCTTATCTGTAAAATGGGAATAATACAAAATATCTCAAAGGTTGCAGTGAGCATCAAACAGAGGACCATAAATAACATGCCTTAGAGTAATAGTAAGGCCCTTGACAAATGTCAGCTCCCCTCACCTGTGCAACATGGACATATCCTCACCTTTAGGACACCAGAAAGACACCAAACTAGAAAACCAAAGTTGAAAACTAAAAGTTTCACCCCAAGTTGAAAACTGCTGATCCCATCAGAACCTATATTTGGCCCTTGTATAACGGGCTGACTGCATGTGGACGTAAAAGTCTCACAGAGGATGTCCATGAGACATGGCACCTCTCCTACCTCTGGCATCACCGAACTTAGATCTCCAGAAACACAGCTTTCCTGGGTCTGGCTGGACAGGGGCAGCAGACATGATTCGTTGGGGACAGTAATTTGGTATTTCCACTTACATTTTCAAAGTCCTTCATGTTCCGTGCTCGGGTGGGAGACACTGTTTCTTCTGACACATTTGAGAGCACTGTAAAAAGGTAAAATAGAGGAAAACGTCACAGCATGCAAACTGCCCAAGGTTCCTATTGAGGAATAGAGCCCAGAGAGGAAAACAACATGAACTGCTTCCATAGTGCACGCGGCTGGTACCTGCTGTCTGTTGTGATTTACTGATTTTAGTCCAGGGAAAGCTCTAAACCATTAATTTACAAATTACTTAAACTAACCCCAAAGTAACAATGCGCACATCAGAAGATGAACACAGCAAACACGTCAGGCATTTTGCAAAGCAGACTGTCCTGATATGTACTTCCTTATTTCGTGAAATTACTTTACTGAACAGAGTGTCATCTTCTCATGTCAGTAATTACAACAAAGCACGTCTAACTGACTTGACAGCAGGGTTGGCAAACTTTTTCTTAAAATGCCAGACAATATTTTAGGCGTTGTGGGCCATACGCAAAGCCTAAAATCTGTCACAACTACTCA